AGCCACTCGGTACCCGGACCCCGGTCATGCGAACATCAAAAGAAGCCCCGCCCTTTCCGTGTCACTTGGGCCATGTGTTTAACTCATCATTCATTCTGTTACCGACCAGGCGGGCCCTGGGCTGAGCGGGCGGGGCCTGGGCTGGGCGGGCGGGGCCTGGGCTGGGCGGGACGAGCCGGCGGGAGGAGCGGCCCCGTGAGGCCAGTGTTGATCAGAGACTTGTGTGTTGGGTCTGTGGTTCCCAAGCCGATTGCGGCCCTGGTTTAACAAATTCGGATTTGCGGGTTCCATCTCAGCGAATTCTGACTCAGTAAGTTTAGGGCAGAGGCCAGCAGTCAATATTTTCAACAAATGTCCTGACGCAACCGGTGGGGGGACAAATTTCGGAACCGCTCTCCGAACGCTACTAAATAAGGACTTTCGAAGGAGCACGGAGATGACATCACCGCCCTTGAATTGTCTCTATCCCACACTCTGTCAACATTGGCTTTGCCCTTTTTTGTTTAGATGTGTCGCCTGAGGTCGCCAGATAACTTCTGTTCACCGTGTTGTAATAGGGGGAGAAAGGAACGCCTAGCTTTTTTACAGACAAAAAAAAAAATTATTGGCAAAAATTAAGTAGAGTGATTTATAAGTCTTAAAAAGTAAAAACAAAGTAAATATACTGTAACTGTACAAAATGGCATGGAGACCACAAGACTTAGGGAAGCCCTCGTGTATAGAGGTTCTCCAGCCCAGGGATGTTGGCTATACCTTTCATACTTAATTAGTTAGTTAATTAGCTAGTTAGTTAGTTAGTTAGTTAGTTAGTTAGTTTTGGAGGGGGTACCCAGCTATGAAACCGGGACCTCTTGCATACCTAATCTTACAATTCAGAAGTAAATGTCAAAATACTGAAACCTATGGTATTTATTCAAGAAACACATTAAGTCAGAAGAATGCCCATAGTATGTACCAAGTTTATTAAATTTATATCGCAAAGAGAAATAATCAAAGTGACATCTTTAGCAACTCCCTGTGGCATTCCAAAGTGTATAAAAATATAATTGGATCAAGTGAGTAAACAGGTATTTTCTTTTATTTTTCTACAAAGGATTGCTTTAACATCGGACTGGCTTTCTGGACCACTTTTATTTTATTTTTTAATATATTTTTATTGATTTCAGAGAGGAAGGAAGAGGGAGAGAAAGATAGAAACATCAATGATAAGACAGAATCATTGATAAGCTACCTCCTGCAGGACCCAGGCACATGCCCTTGACCGGAATCAAACCCAGGACTCTTCAGTCCACAGGCCAACACTCTATCCACTGAGTCAAACCAGCTAGGGCTGGACCACTTTTAATAACTGATGTAATGCTGCCCTTAAATAAAACTATATTTCCCAAATCTTCATCTCATGACTTCTAAGTCCAACACTTATTGTTGTTGTTTTAAATCTCTTTATTTTCAGGTATTTCTTTTCCATTCCTTAATATCTGTGAATCACTTGTGTCCTATTTTTGTTTGAAATTTTAGGCTATTGGATTCAGTTTTCCTAAAGTGCCCTTTGGCTCTAACATTTTCGTCTTTATGCTTTATGGTTTAGGAAATAATCTCACCATCCCTTTTGTCCAATCCCTAACACTTGGTATGAGGGTCCCAAAGT